TATATATATATATATATATATATATATATAAAATAAAGTAATTATGTAATATTTTTCGAGCTTTAAAAGATTAGGTTCATTTCACATCACTCATGGAGAGCTTTATATAATTGTCACTTTCATTACTCTTCTCGAAAACTTGTCCAATAAAATTCACTTTTAGTACATACAGAGTTATCATTTATTACTTTTCATCAAAGTATAAGAATTTATTTATTTATATTTCTAAATAAACACATATTAACAAGTCACAAGAAAAATAAGAATAAAATATGTAAGCTTCTTTTTCTTTTAAATCTACTTACTCATATTTTTCTCTCACCTAAGAGTCACTCATTTAATATGTATATTTGTGAGATTCACGGTCATCCTTAAAATTCTAAAGATTTTAGATGATACTTTTAATAACAAAAATCTCTTGTATATAATGAAAATCACACATAATAAATCTTATATCTTTTAATAAAATCTAGGTTTAATAGGTTCGGAGGTCTCTATATTTGTGGGTTCGTTTCAATTGGGTCCTCCAATTTTGAAAGTGATCAATTTAATCCCTAATTTAACAAAATTGAGTCAATAATAACCTTTCCGTTAAATGCAATGGACGACATTAACGTTTTAAACATGTGGTATGTTGAAGCATCCTTCAAATAAAACTGTGCAACCTGCAAATAAAAGGATGCCTCAACATGCTACATGTTTAAAAAGTTAACGCCGTCCATTACATTTAACGGAAAGGGTATTATTGACTCAATTTTGTTAAATTAGGGACCAAATTGATCACTTTCAAAATTGGAGGACCCAATTGAAACGAACCCACAAATATAAGGACTTCCGAACCTATTAAACCTAAAATCTATTTAAAAAATAACCATCATATATAAAATTTTCATTAAATTTATATTATAATAATCATATTATATAATTTCTAAATAAATAAATTTCTTAAATAATTAATAAATAATAAATCTTTCTAAATAATAGAAATAATAATAAATCACATTAAATATATATTTTTTAATTATTATAATTAGAGTCTTACCAATTCTACTTTCATTCAAATATACAATACAATTCACTACATATAAGTGTGAATAAGAACTTTTACTTGCATATATGTATCCTAAAAAAATAAAGTTTTATTTTCACTTTAATATGACATATTTTTAATTGAACATGTGATAGATGTTATTATTATTGTTAAAATATTTTTACGAAATTTATTTTTTATATTAATTTTAATGCTATTTTTAAAATTTTAACATATATATACAATTTTCATATAATTGCTTAAATGAGTAACAAAAATATCAAATAATTTATAATAATACCTATGTAATAAATTTTAAAATTCTTAAAACTATATTAAATATTAACTATAAATAATAGAATATTATACTTTATTGTAATTTTTTATTCCTTACTTTTCCTTTAAATTTAGTGTCTAAATGTTTAATTATATGTAATTTAATTTAATATTCTATTTTGAAACATTTACTTAATTTTTGGACTAAAATATTTGTAAAATAAATCAAAAGGTAAATATAAAGTAAATACATGTTTTCCCTGTGATGGGAGTACTTTGTTTTTGTCAAAATATTAAATTATAGCTTATAATAAACTTATAAAAAAAATTCATGAATAACAACTAAAAGAAAAAAACTAATTAGTCACCCCACAAATAAAAATTATAAAGATGATCACTGTCTTGTAAGGTGTGAAAAAAGAAATTAAATAAATTCCATAAAAATAAACATAATTTTTTTATTATTTGACAATATTAGATTGATTAAAAATATATTAGAATTAAAAATCATTTTCATCATAGAGAATGATCAATAAATATAATTTGACAATTATGATTCAATTTTTTTTAATAGAAATCACTTATTCAAAGTATATATTTAACACCACACAAAAAAACGATTAAAATAAGATTAATTCATTATCAGTAATAATAATAAAACTATTATTAAGTGTATCAATTATACATAATATATTAGTTTTTCATGATAAATATTATTTTTTATATTTTAATATTTTAACGTTATCTTGTAGATCTTTCTGTTATTTCAAAGATCAGATTCTTCATTAAAAAAATTGTACATTATTTGTTCAGGATAGTACTTGCCACAATTTCTCTTAAATACAAAATATTCTTATTATTCAAGCACAATCCTGCTTTACTCTTAGTATATAAGTACAAGTGGAAGTGATTTATAAACATAATACACTCACATATTTTCTTTTCTTTTCAACAGTTTTAATAAAAAAAACTACCTTTCCTTTTATTTTTATCCTTATAAGAAAATAAGCTAATTATATTTTTTTAATATATCTATTTTTTTAATTTTCTGTTTAAATTTAGTAAGAATAAAATTTAAGAGAATAAATTATATTAATACATGGAGGGAAAAAAACTTGTGTTAATGTACCCCTTAGTTAAGCAAGATTTTATTTACTTGAAGAATTGAATTTAAAGAAAAGGTTAAAGAAACAGAGTTTATGGGACACCAAAATTATTTCTTTCTAATCAATCTTGATTACTATTTAATCAGTTTTAAAGTATAAAACAAGATTTTAAGGATAAACACCTATCTCCAACTAGACAAAACCCTTTTTCTAACATTTTGTAATACTAAACACTCCTTGTTCAGGATACAAAGCTATTCCAATAAGCTATATATATACAGAGAACCTGAGCTCTGCTCTGTTTCTGTCATATATATAAATAAATAAATATATTAATCTCTGCAATTAGTTTATCCCAATCTAATTATCTAGATTAATTTAGTTACATGGGTTTCTTTCAACTGTAATTGAAACTCCTAAACCATAAGTTACATTTATTTATTTTTAATTTATAATGAACCATTAATTCAAAATGAAGTGATTGAATAAAAAATAAAGATAAGGTTAGAAAGAAAGTGAGATGATTTTTTTTATCATATATTATAGTTAAATATTACTTAATAGTTAAATGTTTAAAAGTTGCATAAATTTATTGTTTATTCTTTTATATTTTTATGGTCAAAATTCATTTCTGTAATCTCTCTCCCTCTCTTGGAGTAAAAGTATTACTTGATACTCTCCTTAGAAATATATAAGTTATAAATTAAATAACATATAAAAAAAGAATTACACCATACGTAAAATTTGTACGTGCATGCATGCTGATATCTACGCGTGAATTGGGGCTGTGGGCGCATATCGCACATGCATATTCGATAAAAACAATGACATGCATATTCGAATAAAAACAAATAACGGTTAACGTAGACGAACCGAACTCATGCACCGTTCATGCAGAAGAGTTCTAAGTAAAGTTGAATATACTTTTTTTCACTCAATTAACAATTTAATTTATTATTCAGACAAATTTCAGTTATTTAAAGTTTAACTATTTCCCAAATCCATCCTTTACCATTGATATCTATTAATTAATTAATTAACTAATCATCATAGAAAGAATAAATGATTGCTCAAAAGTTTAAGTATACAAAATATATTAGACTGCTGAGTGAAATTAGTAAGTAATAATAGTGTAGAATTTATTTTAAAGCATAGACAATAAAAGAACAAATTTATTCACATTTAATTCCTAAACAATGATACATAGTGTGAATTGAAAAATAAAAATAATAACAGGAAACTATACTCTAAAACTAAACAAAAAAAATTGTCTAATGTTATGTCATATGCCAGATAAAAATTGTCTATGTTATGTAATATCTAACTTTTGAACAGTGATATAATCGAATATTGATCAAAAACTATAATTATTTAATGATAAAATGAACATTATATAATCCAAAATTAAATCATAAAACAAAATTTATAATGTTGCATCACACTAAATAAAAACAATGTCTAATGCTATGTCATCTAACTACGAAAAATCCAAAACTAAATAAAAAAAAATTGTCTAATGTTATATTACATACCAAATCAAAAAACAAAAATGTCTAATGTTAGGTCACATCTAACTTCTGAATAGTAATACACCATCCAAAACTAAATCAAAAAATAAAATTATTTAATAACTTCTGAATAGTGACACACAATCAAATAATGAATCAGAAAACAAAATATGTAATAACTTCTGAAAAGTGACCCACAGTCCAATACTAAATCAGAAAATAAAATTATGTAATAACTTCTTAACACTGACACACAATCTAAGACTAAATCAGAAAGCAAAATTATGTAGTAACTTCGGAATAATGACACACAATCCAAGGATAAAGAAGAAAACAAAATTATATAATAAAACTTCTTATCAGTGACACACAATCTAAAACTGAATCAGAAAACAAAATTATGTAATAACTTCGGAATAGTGACACACAATCCAAGATAAAAAAATAAAATTATGTAATAACTTCTGAATAGTGACACACAATCCAAGACTGAATCAGAAATCAAAAAACAAAATTATGTAATAACTTTTGAACAGTGACACATAATCCAAGATTGAATCAGAAAACAAAATTATGTAATAACTTTTGAACAATGACACATAATCCAAGATTGAATCAGAAAACAAAATTATATAATAACTTCTGAATAGTGACACACAATCCAAGACTAAATTACAAAACAAAATTATACAATAACTTCTAAACAATGACACACAGTCCAAGAATAAATTACAAAACAAAATTATACAATAACTTCTAAACAATGACACACAGTCCAAGAATAAATTAGAAAACAAAATTATATAATGACACGTTGCATCTAACTTCTTAATAATGATAAAGTTAAACCGTCTGACACACATTTTATTATTACAATATATTATTTTTTTTAAGAAAATTGAATCATTTCTATGGTATTGAAAATGAGAATTTGCAATTGTGCTTTTACAATTTTATAGCCCTTTAATACATCATTTATTATATTCCATAGTCTCATTTTAATGATAAAGAAATTACTAGAACAATTTAAACTTGCAAAAATATCAAAAGGCTACACAAATTTTGCAAAATAAACCACACTTAATATAATATAAAGTACTCGCAAACACTTCTATTACAAACCAGGAAATTAAAATTGAAACAACAGGTACATATTTCAAAGAAACAAAAACAACATAATAATGATAATATTCATTACTCTTATTTTCTTATACTCTTGATAAACGGTTCAGGTGCATCTTAGATAACACATACACTTTATTCCTTTTCTCACAATGTGCATGTTCATCTTCTAATGCCTGCCGTTGAAGCTTCTTCACCAGGATGCTACTCACCAGGATGCACTCAGAGGCCTGTTCAATTTCCTCTTTTTCTCATTCCTCTTTTGAACCGTTGTTGGGGCCTTTCTCTGAGTTAACTGCATCAAAATATTATCATTATATACAGAGATTATAATTCAGTAAACCTGCAATATGTATTCAGAAAATAGACTAAACTCAAAAACTGTTATTCAATTACAAGCTTATCAGATATTGCAACTTTTTAAAATTTACAATAATAATCTTAAAAATCATATTAATAATGATTTAGAATGATTGTTAAAAGTGCTTGAGACCATTAACTTAGAATATATAACAGTAATTACATTTGAGGCAATCACTTACTACTTCTAGCCTCTTGCGTTCATCTTCAGCCTGTTGCAGATGTGAATGAATGTTAAACAGCAAAAAACATAAATAATTAAGAAAGGAAAAAAAATAAGAACCCTCAATTTCAATATTGCCTACCAGCATATTCTTAAGGTTCTCATTCTCATTTTTCAGATTATTCAGCTCTGCTTCAAGCTCCACAGTATATGCCTGCATCAGAAGATTTTAACATATAAGTGAAAGGACCTAGAATGCATCAGAAGATTTTGCATGCTAACTAGCAAACCATATCTAAAAAGACATGGTCAGAATGAACAAAAAAATGTTTAAGGAAGATGAGAAATGTACCATACTCTTTATGTTAGGTGATTAATAACTAGAAAAAATATGAATCTGATGTATATAACAAAGAGAATGTTATGATGAAAACAAAACCTGTCTTCTTGCACGAGATCGTGCTGCTGATTCTCGATTCTTCAGCATTCTGCGCTGCCTTCTCTCTATTACCACTTCGGGAGGACCTTGAATGATCCTTTTCTTACCCTTGCCACTTGATTCTGCTACGTTTTGACAATTATTCTCCACAGCAACATTTGTAGTAGTGAAATTCCTCACAATAAAGTGGTTATTCTGTGGCAGCATTTGATGCGGTTCAAATCTACCACAGGGCATATTAGGTCCAGTAGTTCCAATTAATATATAGCTTGTATTAAATGGAATATTGGTTGGAATGTTAGCGAAATGATTCTGAGGTAATATAGTGGTGAACAGTGTTGATTCAGTAACAACCCCAGCTTTTATCAGGAAATCCTCCAAAGTCATTTCTCCAAATGTGGGATCCTTTTGGAGTGTTTCATCACTGGCAAGGCTGTTATTATCTTCATTTTGTTGTGGTTGGCTTTTCTGGATCTGAGACCAAACTTCATCCGTAGTTTTCTTGCAAATTGGGGGAGGGACAGAGAAAGAGGCTGGCTGAGGAATGGTGGGTTCTGGTGCAACGCTGTTGTTGTTTGCAGCTTCATCATAGACGGGTAGAGGAGGGTTAAGTTGGAATTCATCTGTGTTCCAAATGCTGGCTATGAATTCATCCACCATGCTTATGGACCCTACGCTCTTTCCGTTCTTGTCACTGCCCTCCTCGTCAACGGGGAGTGAGACTTCTGAACTCTGCTGGTTCAGTTGATAGAATGATGCTTCCGTGTCTTGCAGTGGCACCTCTTGCTCTGATTGTTGGAAATTCATGAGTGCAGATGAAAGGGCTATAAGAAACAGTTCTTGCCTCAGAAATCACCAGTAAAAAAAATATGACAGAAAACATCAAATGCATTAAAAAATTGTCTGTTGTGGATGGATTATCAGATTTAAACTCTTGGAAAATTGAAATGCATCAATAGCTAACTTGAAAACAGCAAATCTGGGTGAATCTTTAACTAACCCTAAGATCCCCAAAAGATAAATAAAGAAAAATCTCATCCTTTATCAGAAAACTCAGATTATGAAATTGATATGCTGAACTGGGACTGTACCAGTTGCATGCAACATGCAATGATGCATCTGGGTATGATCGAAATGATAGAAGTAGATTAAGGGCAAGAATAGAAGCAAAATGATGTGATGCAGAAGGAAGAGGAAAAATTGAAGCAAAGTGTACCTGAATAGAAAGAGAAAGGGAGAGACTGAATTGTGAGAATAGAGAAGAATGTGGGGAGTAAATATAGGCGAGAAATAAAGAAGGAAGAAGAGCAAGGTGAAAGAGAGGAAGGGAAGGAATGGTTTCACTGCGTAGAGACAAGGCTTTAACTGCCATTGGTATCATTTTAAAACAACATTTGTTTCACTCAGTTTCTGGCATTACTTTATCATTGACACGTTCTGTGACATCAACCGTTTTCACCTTACCATAAGTTCTTTTTTTCATTTTAAAGCATCTACCTCTTCGATGTTTCTTGTCCTGTTTCTTGTTCGGTGCATAATGATAATACTATAATTATTTATTGTTTATTAATTAATGAAATAATGTTATTTCAACAATATTTTTCAACAAAAATTAAAACTATTATTTCTACAGAGAGAAAATTATTTGATGAGGTTTCACTTTTTCAATTGGTTAGCAGGGAATAGTAAATTAAAATCCGGGGAAAGTCATGGCACCAACCCTTTTTTCGTTTTCATACAATTTGGTTCGAGTTTAAATATAATTAATTTTTCTGGTTGATTATGATTTTATTTTAATTTTTACAAAAAAATTGTCTTTCTAAAATACGAAATCTTATTTTTGTTCTTTTAGGAAATCAATAAATTTTAATTCCAATTTCTAGAGATTTTGTTTTTTAATTTTAATTCTAGTATTCATTTGAAGAAGTATAAATAAATTAATTTTAGTTTTTTTTTTAAGTGTCACGAACTAAGATTGTAGTGCAAATTACGGTACTAGTGGGAGTTATTTAAAAGTATGATGTTAACCATTTATTCCTTCATAAAACTAATTATTGCTATGTAATATTAATAATAAAAAATAATTAATTTTCATTTTTGAAGAATAAGAATACTCACTTTTTTTTTTACAAAATCAATGCAAATTTGATGGATAGTGTTGCAGAAAGATATGTGGCATTGATCTTTGAGATAATTATGTGATGGGATCTTTCATTACTACAATTACTGTAATTATAATAGTTACCTATTTATGAAATCATAATTGTTAAATGTGATCATTACAAACAGTTTCTTTTATAAATATTACATTTTATCTTACAAATTAAAAAATATTCAAAATTAATATCTCTTATCAAGTTACTTTGCATAATATAAAGTACCATCATACAATCATAATAATTTTAAAAAATGTATATACTTAATGTTTTTTAATTTTTTTATTTACTTACTTATTTGATTTAGATTATTTTTCTATTCATATATCAATCATTAAATAATATTACTATAAAAATGGAAAGAAAGGGGAAAGTCAGATGAAAAACAAAGCAATTTAAAAAAAAAACAATAAAGAAAAAAGTGAGAAGAAAAATACATATTTTCATTATTTAAGAAATATATTTAACAAGAACTACTTTTGTTCAAAAAGTAGTCATGTATTCCAGTTCATAAAATGAGATCAATTCATAAACTTTATTTAAATAATGTTGGAAAATGTTTTATTAAATAACATTACTTGAAGAAATTTAATATTAATTACAAAGTCAAAATGTTATAAATTCTTAACTTATTTTTGTATTACATTTCTTTTTTAATTTTATATAACTTAACCCTATCGAATTATATAATAAAAATTCCTGCTTACTGAAAAAAAAAATTAATCAATGACACATATTTACTACAAAGATTTTATGTCTAACATTATCAAATAATTTGGAATGTAAGAAATGGTAGGGATGGAGATCGACAAGTAAAAAATTTAAAATTATGTATCTCATAAAACTAATTTAAATAGATTAATTTATTTAATGAAGGTAAAACATGTTAATAGTTTAGTTAAAAATATTATTTTAATTTTGTAAAAAAGGTTGCTGCAACTTGGACCATCAGTGGCTTTACAATTTTTATTTTTCTTCTTACTAAATAAGTTTGTTTCTTTAGAAAAATAATAATAATTGAAAGGAGAAGAAAAACTCAAAACAAACTCTGATTACTTTCCTGCTAACAACGACTAGCACAGAGTCGAATTTGTGGTCACACTCCACTGCTTCACTCATCTCTATGAACTCTTATGTTTTTTAGTGCCTCACATATTACCTCCACCACAACAATCAATCTTTATTCCAATCTTCGAATCTACTTTTCACACCTTCCTTATTACACTTTTACATTGTAACTCTTTCAAATTTTAATTACAAAATTCAATCTTCATAATATCACAAACTCTAATATATTCTTCTACATAAACTTTGTCTTTTCTCTCATGTTATGTCTTTTCTTTTAAAAAAATCATATACATTTTTTAATAACATTTTAACATAATACATATAATTCTTATTGATTTATTATTGTAGAAACATACTATAAACTGAATGAAAAAATAACAAATATTTTAACACATCATTTTCCCTAAAAGAACTTTGTTAATAAGAAGAATAAAGATATTTTAACACATTTTTTGAAAATATTTAGTTAACAAGAAGAATAAAGATATTTTAACACGATTTTTGAAAATATTTAGACACAACATACGTGTCATTTTCTCATTTTTCTTTCACTATTTATTTGTTATTGTGTTGACATACTTTAAATTGTTAACATTAAATTGAAGACTATAAATTTTGATGATGTCTCAAAATCAAGTCTTAAGTGTTTTTATTGTAGGAAGATCTTTATGAATACTTATTTTTATATTAAATTTTTTGTATTTTAGTATATTGATGTATAGGATGTAGTTTATATTTGATTTTGTGTATTGTTTGCCTTACGGTGCATTAAAAATCATTTTGAATCAGAAAACCTTATTTTATACTTATGATAATCAATTATGACAGTCATAATTGATTATCACGAGCAATTATGAGAATTTTTAACCAACTTTTTTACTGTTGTGCATTCAATGATGCATAATTGATTACCATATTAGGATAATCTATTATTAGATGTTAAACCGCTGATAACGAATTTTTGGAGATTATTACGTGTTAAATAGCTGACAACGGATTTTTGGAGGTATCCTTGAGTGAGATCTCTATAAATTATATTGAGATTCTCGTACTAAAATACAAAGAATACAAAATAAGTGTATTTTCGAAAGTCTTATCTGCAATGTGTGGTGATAAATGTTCTAGGGTTTGCAGAACCTTGTGTTGTGGGTTTGAGAACTTGGCATGTTGGCATAGAGCGAAAACTTTTACTAGGAGTGTGATAGAGTGTTGTTGTTGTTGCTGAGTTGAAAGTTTGTCATCTTTTATGAAAATTCAAAGGAAGTGTTTCTCTTTTGTGAAGATTCAAAGTGGTCATGCTTCGTGAAGTATTCGGAAGAGGTGCTCATCTCTTGTGTGGATTACAGGCAAAGTGAGTTTCATCTCTTGGGGTAACAAGAGAGGTGTTCTAACCTTAAACTGTTTTGTTTTCTTTTGATTGTAACAGTTTGTTGGTTTGTATTAGTGAAACATTAATTCTTGGTTGGATGTAGGATCTTTGTTATCTAAACCAATATAAAAGTTATATGTGCAATTTTCTCTCTTCTTTACTCTTTAATTTTCTCTCTTCCTTCCTCTTGGTTTGTTGAACGCGTTAACCATTCTACTGCACCGCTCTTACAAAAATGACATGTGTATTATGTNCTTACTCTTTAATTTTCTCTCTTCCTTCCTCTTGGTTTGTTGAACGCGTTAACCATTCTACTGCACCGCTCTTACAAAAATGACATGTGTATTATGTAAAAATGTTGCAAAAAAATCTATGTTAACATATCATTGCTTTAATAAAAATACGTCTAGAAAGGAATTAACTATATATATGGTCTTTGAGTTTATTTTGTTAAGGATAATTTAAGGTTGTTTTATTGTCTCTTAAATTTTGTTGCAATCTGAGTTAGATTTGTGAGCAGTAGAACAAATCGAATTTAAATGTTTATTTTTTGGTTGGCTTTTATAACATTAGTGGGAAGGATTTTGTAGTTATACTTTTTTTTTGTTAATGGCATGTGATTGTTTTTTTGTGTTGCATCTATTCATGAAAAATCAGATTTATAAGATGATATAAAATCCTAATTTTATGCTCACCTTGTACTAAAATTGCCTAGGAAACCTTTTATCAAGTTAAAATACATATACATCATCTAATAGCATTTCAACTCCTAATCTTAAGCTTAATTATTTTTTTCACTTAATAAACACATTATAAGACTTGTAATATTAGGATTATATTTTCCTTTTATATACTTTTAAGTGTAAGAAAACTAAATCACATAAATAACTTGAGCATGAATAAAATATTACATAATATTTTAGCAATTAATTGAAATGATAATTTTCTTTTGTAAGAGTTCTTCTTTACTTGATTTGATCTTACAAAAATCTTTTTCAATTTTTGTGGTGATCTCAATAATAATTAATTGTATTGTTTCTAATTACATATGTCTGTTTACATTATTAATGTTTGTTCTTATTCAATCATTCTTGATATTTGTTTCATTTGATAGAAAATATCTTTTCTAAATAGAACATATAATGAAACTTAGTATTTAGTAACGAAGTTTCACTCATTATGTGAAAGTAAGTTTGTTTATTAAGTATTTAAACAATTAACAACATATAAGAAAATATAAGTTCATATAGAGGTGATAGAACACTCTAACCTGTTTTGATCTGATCCACCACAACAAAATGAGCTAAAATTTGTGACCTGCTTCGCTATATAAAGGGTTGATAGATTGACCTACAATTATTTATATTTTTTATTTTTTTTCATTTTTTAAAATTTTTATTTTAAGAATTGAAATTTTTATTCACAACTTGATATTTGTTTCATTTGATAGAAAATATTTTTTGTAAACAAAACATCTAAAAAAACTTAGTATTTAGTAATAAAGTTTGTCTCATACTGTGAAAGTAAGTTTGCTTATTAAGTATTCAAAGAATTGACAATATTTAA